CTTTTGTGGTCCTTACTTTTTCGATTGAAATTTGTTGAGATGCATATATTTGTATTCTCAATGGAACTGTTGTCTAATTTTGTGATCAGATAATGCTGATGGTTTTCCTGAAATTGAAAGCTTGTGGTTCTTAGCTTTTGGGCTATGATATGTGTCTTTTTCTTAGAGGGCCATGTCAATTTAAACTTTGGCATTTCTCTTATTTTATGCTGATTAATCCTCCATATGAGTTTGAGACTATGATACACCTAGGAGTGTAGTGTAAAACCTTTCTGCATATTAGGTTTAATTAAAGCATTAAACATTTCTTAGGAGATAGTAAAAGAGAATTTTGATAGCCAATATATAAGTTATGGTTCGTCATGATGGGTAGTTTCTTTGAAATGGAATACAGTTTGTGTTTCTTTATTTGCAGGAAAGATGTTTGAGAATGGATTTGATGGAGGAGAAGGGGAGTCGGCTTTGCATAGTGACAAGGTACACCATAGACTTATCACATTTCGCACGTTTTATAAGCTATTGCCAGATGTTGAATTCCTCTGTATTTTTCCAAGATTTAAAAGTAATTATAATCAGCAATCCCAGTTTTAGACAGCTTTAAGTTTTCACTTTTCTTTCTCCCAACCATGATAATTATTTGTCATTCTAGTTTATAAGATACAGCTGTACAACTTTGGACAGAAAGTATTCTACACTCAAGAATAGTACGATGATACTTTATCATGTGGAAGTTCTAACTTCTAGTTTTTGAACCTTTGTCCTTTTGTGGGCTTTCACGATTGCTTTCTGAGGTGTTTAGCCACTTGGATTGTCATTGTTGTTGATATTACTGCCTTCACTTATTTCCTATGCTATTGATTTTCCTCTACTCTCTGACCTTAATTACATACCTTATAATTTTTTCCAGGTCAAAGTTGATCCAGGGTCACCTCCATCTTTGACATGGAGAAGAAAACTTAGTACTGATGACAATGCCCTTTCTGAATTCGACCTAACCTTAAGAGAGAAAATCAGTATGGTATTCTTTTGAACTTGTTCCGTAGTTATTATGTGCACAGTTTCATACAAGTCTTCCATGACCCTTACAATAATGGAATTTATCTCCGGTTTTGTTCTTTTCATGCATGCTTGTAAGGATATTTTAGGAATTTATAAACAGTGGCTAGGGCCTCTCGTATGTTAGTGATTCTGTTTTCCCTTGCTGTTTCTTGTTATACCTCCTTTTTGGTTATTGTAGGCACCCATAGGTTATAGGCTTTGGCGTCAACTTCGAAAGGAAAAAATGACATACGGGGTAAATGTTCCTGCTAACGACATTGGAAATTGGATGGATTGATGCCTGTGCAACTAATTTGATGTTTTCTTGTTAATTTTCTTGCAGGATGTATTTCTTGATCCTTTTACGAAGCGCCATACATCATCTTGCCATGGGGTTCCTGTAGGTGGTATGGGGTAAGTTCATTGTTTCCCTCTTTTTTATTCTTTCTGGCTTTTTTATTGTTCTTTTTTATCTCTGTTCAAAATATATAGATTTAAAAATTACTGGTGAATTTCGTAAAACTTTTCAGAAGAATCTATCATGAACTCCTATAAAAGGAAGCCTTATATTTTATCTGAATAGCTAGGTTGTTGACAGTGTTGGTATGGGATTCTGTTTTATGGATACCGTACTGCAATATGTGCCTACTTATATGCTTCCATCCCATTCACCAAACCATTTGGAAGAGTTGGCAAATGGGTGGGGGTTGGCTCAGGAGATACTTCAAGTTCCTTCAACATTTTTCATTTTCTGAAGATGATTTTTCAGTCAATTGAGGCAAAGCACCTTTCCATTGCTGCGTATATGTTTGTTGCTTTGTCTCATGTGATATATTTTCAATTTGTTGTACTAAACATTTGTCTCCGATTGACATGAAAATCATGCTGCATATGATTCCAAATACAGTCTGGAGAACAGTTAAAAACATGGTTTGTCAAAAAATTTAGCTTGGTTGTTACGTTTTCAACAACATCCATTTAGTTTTCTAACACAATTTTCAGTGCCGGTAGCATTGGAAGAAGTTGCAAAGGTGAATTTTTGCGTTGGCAGCTGTTTCCTAGGATGTGTGAAGATAAACCTGTCTTGTCAAACCAATTTTCTGTAAGTTGGATCCTGCTGTGAACTTCTGTGTTTATTTGACTTGAAAGCTACACATGGGATTTACAATGCATATCAGTTGTTATTGCATACAAAACGTAAGAATACACCGGTGGGATTTACAATGCAACACAATTCGTAGCTTGTTTACCTTTCCTGGAAAGTTGTATTAAGTACCACATATGTTTACTAACATATGATTAGAACATTTAGCCGTGCTCTTCCTCCTACCTCTGACAGCACAATTTATTTATTTTCACGCCTAAGTATCTAAATTTCAAAACTAAATTTGTTAAACATATATGTCAATAGATAGTATGTGTCAGCAAGAGAAAACATTCCAATTTCACTAGTCTGGTCTATATTTGTCCATCGATGACAGATACCCTGAGTCACTTAAAATCTATCTACTTTTACAGGTCTTTGTGTCTCGACCAGATGGTAGCAAATTCTCTAGTGTACTCTGCCCGAAGAACCCAGAAGTTCTAAAGTATGAACATAGTATATTTATTTTTCTTTCTTTCTTTCTTTCTTTCGAGCGTCTTTTAGTCATGGTAAGATGTTATGCCTTGTAAAAAAATACATTTCTTAGTTTATCATTGAATTTCCCTTTACGACTGAGTAGTTAAAGGTACGAAAGATATCAAATTCTCGGTGTACAGTTCTGTTTCTTGAAAGTCAGTGATCTGTGTGTCTAAATAAAGGGATAACAGCGACAGTTCGGCTTCTGGGATAGGATCTTGGGACTGGAATCTAGATGGACAAAATTCAACTTACCATGCATTGTTCCCTAGGGCTTGGACCGTGTATGATGGTATTTAGAATTCTAATATTCTCTTAATTAAGTGCCTCTTTTCATGGATCTTTACATCATTGAATATATATTTTTTCTGCGCAATGAAGGTGAACCCGATCCAGCTTTAAAAATAGTGTGCCGTCAGCTTTCACCCTTCATTCCTCACAACTACAAGGAGAGCAGCTTTCCTGTAGCAGTCTTTAGTTTTACAGTATGATCAACTTCTCTGGCTCCGTTCATGCTCCCTTTCTTTTACACTTACAAACACGTGCATGAACAGAGGCCATTGTGTCTAAGTAGGCATGTTGTGTTTGTGACAGTTATCTAATTTGGGAAAGACGGAAGCGGATGTCACCTTGCTCTTTAGTTGGGCAGTAAGTTCCCTTTCTTAAGTTCTTTCTTTCATTCTTTCTTTCTTTCTTTTTTTTTTTTTTTTTTTTTTTTTTTGGTTAAATATGAAATTGGGTTGGGCTTTTTCGTAAAGAATTTGTGATGATGGTTATATTTTTCCTCTGTATCTAGGAAATGAAGATGGAGAGGGCGACTCTGGTTTTCGTGAAATTTTTGTGATGGCAACTGTAATTGTGATGATGATTATTAAATTAATTTCGTNACGGATAACATTAGTGGAGTTCTTTTGCATCATATGTAAGTGACTGCTTTGTTGATGAAATAGTTTTATAAGATTAATATCTTTAGAGTTTGCGTGTCCCTAGGAGTTTCTGATTTCTTTTAAACTGATATAGGACTGCAAAAGGATTACCCTCAGTAACTTTTGCAATTGCAGCAGAAGAGACTGATGGTGTTCATGTGTCTTCGTGTCCATGTTTTGTGATATCTGGAAATTCGCAAGGCATCACAGCAAGAGACATGTGGAGTGAGATTAAGGAGGTACAACGACTATCACCACTGACACAGCATTGTAGATCAAGCTTTATATACAGTCCAAACTCCAAAGTCTTAGGTTTTATATTTACTGTGAATGATTCAAGAAAGTTCAGCTCATCTGTGATGATCTCGCAGATAAGAAACAGATGTTGACCAACTTGATTTAACAACACTTCATGTTTACAGTATAGATTAGATAGTGAACTATCTAAAAATGATTTTCTGGTATATTACGACCATTTCTTCAAATCCACTGCCCTCCTGAGAGAAACTTAAACTCTTAAACAAAGTGAAAGTATTAATAACATGCATTGGTAGAGGTTTGAATTGTTGCTAGAGGATTAGTATTTCGGCAAGTCCAAACCCGATCCTGTCATCCAGACAACAGTCAAACAACAACAACAACAACAAAGCCTTTAGTCCCAAGCAAGTCGGGGTAGTCCAAACCCGATCCTGTCATCCAGACAACAGTCCCTGTACAAATTTCATGTTTCAGTTTTATTTGTTGAAACTGTCATTTTCACTCTCTTTTAGTCCATTATAAGTATTGAAAGGCTTTGCCCTTTTCTGTCCTAATTAGCGTGGATCATTTGACCACCTAAGTTCTGAAGAGATGTCTATACCTTCTGAACCCGGTTCAGTAATCGGGGCAGCTGTTGCAGCCTCTGTGACTGTTCCAGCAGGAGAAGTAAAAACTGTTACATTCTCATTGGCATGGGCTTGTCCCGAAATAAACTTCACTGGTGGAAGAACTTATCACAGGCCAGTATGCTACTTGCTTATGTATTCCATATATGTTCCAGTTATCTTTCTTTGCTTTTCCCAGCATTGTCTGAGTAAAGTTTTTTCCTTGATGATCAGGCGCTACACCAAATTCTATGGCACTCACAGTAACGTGGCATCAGATATTGCACGTGATGCTATACTCAGTAATTCTCTCAGTAGCTTATCAGCTTATCCAGTTTGGCGAGCAGCGAAAATGCTATCTATTTACTGATATAACATTAACATTCTTCAAGTCTACAATATAAAAAAACTTCATTTGATGCATGGTTTATCTTTCTTCTTATTTATTCACAAAATTAAGAGCACCACCATTGGGAGTCAGAAATCGAAGCTTGGCAGAGACCCATTCTTGCAGATCAGAGACTTCCCGAATGGTAAGACCTTTATACCCTTAATTCATATCATTACATTTTACCAGCATCAAACTCGGAAGGCTTACATTTTTCCCTCTTCCACAATCTACTGCAGGTACCCATCCACCCTTTTCAACGAGCTTTACTTTCTCAACGCAGGGGGAACTATTTGGACAGGTAATTGAGACATTAAAGGGTGTGTTTGTTTATAAAATAATTCAATCCATACTCAAAATCTAACTAAATTACCCAACTCCAATATCCTCAACATTGTCAATATAATTAAATAATATCAATCAATCATTCTTACACATCACATCAACTTTAATTCACTATTTACCCACTCATGTAATTTTAACTAACCATCACGTCACATTATCTCTCTTATACTTTTCTATCAAAACAACTTTAATTATTTCATTTTAAATATCATTTTAATATAAATTCAAAATTCCACTAACAACAAATCATACCACATTTTTCAAAAATTAACTCTGGTTAACCAAATAAACTCGTTTTGAGCGGATATGTTTGTATCCAAACACGCCCTAAATCCCAATCTCAAGCTTGATAGGCTATAAATTCAAAATTCCACTAACAACAAATCATATCACATTTTTCAAAATCAACTCTGGTTGACCAAATAAACTCGTTTTGAGCGGATATATTTGTATCCAAACACGCCCTAAATCCCAATCTCAAGCTTGATAGGCTAATTACATTTCATTTTTTAATATTACATATTTTAACTTTTTTTTTTTTTTTTCCNGATGGAGCTCCCCCAATACACAGCCTACGCACCATCGCCACCCGAAGATTCTCCCTCGACACCCCGACCACAGCCTCCACCCGCCAACCCGATCAAAACGAAGCAGCCCTAAACATTCTCGGCCGAATGACATCTCTTCTCCACGATATCCACACCCCTTCATCCACCCCCTCTGCCCTCGGCACAAACCTCCTCCAGGACGGTGAACACAACGAGGGTCAGTTCCTCTACCTCGAGGGCATAGAGTACCACATGTGCAACACTTACGACGTCCACTTCTACGCCTCCTTCGCCCTCCTCACTCTATTCCCTAAACTCGAACTCGCCATACAGCGCGACTTTGCTGCCGCAGTCCTCATGCACGACCCTACCCCGACGACCCTCCTCCAAGATGGCTCGTCTGCCCCACGCAAAGCACTCGGGGCCGTGCCACACGACATTGGCATGCGGGACCCGTGGTTCGAGGTCAACTTCTACAATCTGCATAACACGGATAGGTGGAAGGATCTTAATCCCAAGTTTGTGCTTCAGGTTTACAGGGACGTGGCTGCCACTGGGAGTTTGGGGTTCGCGAGGGCCGTGTGGCCGTCGGTTTATGTGGCCATGGCTTATATGGAACAGTTTGATAGGGATGGGGATGGGATGATCGAGAATGAGGGATTTCCGGACCAGACGTATGATACGTGGTCGGTTTCGGGAGTGAGCGCTTACTGTGGGGGGCTGTGGGTGGCTGCACTCCAGGCGGCGTCCAGGCTGGCGGGGATTGTTGGGGACAAAGGGTGTGAGGATTATTTCTGGTTTAGGTATGAAAAGGCGAGGAAGGTGTACGGGAAGCTGTGGAATGGGTCGTATTTCGATTATGATGATAGTGGGAGTGCGACGAGCTCGTCCATTCAGGCGGATCAGTTGGCCGGAAATTGGTAGGTGTTGGGATTTT